CTATCCAGTGGGTACCGGGGGTTCTTTCCTAAGGGGTGAAGCTGACCACTTACCTACAACTGGTGCCGAGGTTAAGATAACGTGGGTCTATACATCCACTCCTGCCTACGTCTTCACGGCGTACTGCTTAATTAATTAAGCACAGGGACAGCATTATGAAACCTGCATAACATGGAAAATACATATAACAAAGGGAGAACGGACGATGTTGTGGAAGCTTAATATTCAGCATCTGAAAGCAGTACTTATATATAGCTGTTATTTTTGTAAGGTTTGAAAGCAGCATCAGATCTAAAAGATGAAGAATATTGTACTTCTTTTGGCTTGTTTTGGACTTCATCCATCGTCTGGTATGTAAAAGACAAAAGACCACGACGTTTCGGAGACTGGATCTGTCTCCGTCTTCAGGTGGGTGGGGAAGGATAAACCTACTCAGTTGGGCACGTTAGAAAGAGCTAGTCTCAATCACTGGTTCAGACCCAGTCTCCGAAACGTCGCGGTCTTTTGTCTTTTACATACCAGACGACGGATGAAGTCAAAAACAAGCCAAAAGAAGTACAGTATACACCATCGTCAGAATCCTTTCACGTCTATGTGAAGAATATTGATTCTATACCAAAGTTCTCTAGTGATTACTCTATGTATTTGAATGTTTAATTTGGCTTATGCTGATAGAAAAGTAATGTACCCGGCTCAGTTATGCGTTGAAATTAGAACAATCCAGTATATGAAAACAAATTTGCGATGTCCTCTTACACGTATGGAACAACAGTACCGGTGGCAAGTTTCTATCATTCAGCCTATTCACGCTCGGTGTTTTAACACAACACTCCAACATTTTGTATTTTTGAGTTCAGAAAATATCACCTTGCGAAGTCACTACGTAAAATTATTTATTGGCACTTGTCAAAGCGCACAGTAAAGTAATATTGTATCTACTGCGGAATTAGCCGTGTGTCCTAGTGCGAAGTTAGGCGAGTCTTCCCTGTTGACATCTGAAGTGAGACTTGGCGAAGCCACATATTTGGGCCATACTGCATAATGTCACAGTGTGAGGTTCTCATGGCGATGATTGTTACGGTTACTGGCTTCAGGGAGGTGATACTGCGCAGTCTGGTAGATATTTACCAATGTCTCCACCTTCAGACCCTGAAGATAGAGGCGGCAAGTTCCTCCGAAACTGCAGTAACGAACTACTAGACTACGTGGCGTCTCATTTCAGAAGACGGTAATCACTGTGAAGTTATGGAGAAATGAATATGAGAATAAGTACGGGAAATCCTTGCTGCCATTCAATTCAGCATCTCTTTCTCATGTTTCCATGTCTAATGCAAAAAAACTAAGGGATAAAATACTATACAAAGCCCTAATATATTTTACCTGCTGTTTTCTGTGAGAGTAACACTTGGTCTCCCATTCTGAGGAGAAAACGGAGGCTGAGAGTGTTTATAATAAGCTCCGGGAAATTGGAGGCCTACGAAAGGTGAAAAGGGTTTTTTTTTGGGGGGGGGGGAATTACTGATCATCGGTTTT